TATTCAACAACACTGTCAAACGAATCAAAGCTTAAAGAACATTTGACAAAAGCCATTTCACCATAGTAACAAAAAATGTAAATATGTAACTTTTTTAAAACAGTAAAAAATATCTGACACCTTTATTGCAACAACATTTGAGCAAGATGACAATGGACTGCATTCTTCTTATGACATTTCTTTACTGACTGCAAAATTGGAAAGCATAACACAGTGAAGAACTTATTCTACCAACTGTAAATGAGGTAATATGCACCATGCTGCAAATCACCATTCGATATTATACGGCTACCATCACACATCCAATTGTTTCGGATGAACAACTATTTTCACATACTTTTTCTACCTGCTTTACCACTAAAAGACACGTGATTTTTTCCTTTGTTTCACAAAAAAGTGTAAGTTGTTTTCAACAACCAATCAGTTATCAGCATCGAATCCCCGATCATCAACCAACATATATAATGCAGTACTAGTTGCCCTTTTACATGGAAATCCCAAAGTGACCCATGTTGAATGGCTGTTTTATATCACATGGCAAAGTGAAAAAAATCGTACTTAACAGTTTTCTTCTAAAATGTTTTGAATGTGTGATGCAACATTTAAAATAAATTCATCTGAATAATAATATAGTGCAAAGAGAGACTGATGAAATGGCTCAGTGCATAGAAAATTCTTTATGTGATTTATTAAAAACATCTGAATTCTCTATTCAGCTTGACAATCAACTGCTAGGAAATAAATTTCACATCAACTTACTTTTAGTTCATGTGAGATTTGTAAAAGTAGAACAAATTTTGCAAGAATTGTTATCTGGCAAACGTTTGGAAACTGATAAAAAAGGTGAAGCAATACTTAATGAACTAAAATGATTCTTGGATGTGAAACCCTTGAGAATGTCCTCCCTGGGTCAACTGATCTTGCTTCGAAAACGGGAGGACAGGGTTGCCACTCAAACAGGAGAATGAAATTCCCTGACTTTTCCAGGTATGTTTTGAGAAAATTCCAGTCTATTCGCGTAATGTACATTGGCTGTGCTAAGAGGTAAATTAATTATGGTATTACTCGTACTGAGAAGCAAATTCACTTAATTATTCAATAAATCCCAGAGGACATTTATTCTTAATTATTCTTGGTACACTTTGTTTGATAATTCTGTTTACTTTTCCACTTAAGAAACTTAATAAAATTTAAGATATATACATTGGATAACAATTGTACGTTTTATTTAATTATTACTCATGATCATCTCCAGTTCAACATGAGGCTAATCCGATTCTTATAAATCACAACGCAATGCTAAAAGATATGTTAGATTTTAGGTGAATTTAATTTGTGTGAGGTGTCTTCTTAAAAGGCACCTTAACACTTGAAAACACAAATATAATTATAATAGGAGTTGTTTTCTCCACTGAAGATTGAGATTAGAATCTACCCAATGTGGAATAAAATAAGGCTTTTTTTGCAGACATTCTGCAGCTAAATGAAAGAAAGAAATCTATTTAATGATATTTTTTTACTAAATTGAGGTATTTTATATTTATTTCGCAGCATACATAAGGAAAAAATATGTGCATTAAATTTCGTGATGTCATCATACTGCTAGAATTAATTTCAGGATTATGCCAGAGAAAATTTCCTGAAATTTGGAACTATTATTTACTAATGGTAAATAAATTTAGAGGGAAGAAGCAACATTAAATGATATGAATAACATAAAAATAAAGATAATTACTTAAAAATTGAATTAGAATAATCAACGATATTTTAGCGAATATAGTTAGCCTAGATGACTGATTACTATTTTTTTATTTTACTGCAAAATGACAAGGTATTTTTTAAAAAGAAAAGAAACAAAAAAAGATTTTGCGGTAAAATCCTAGTATACGGCCTTCGCATGATTTTGAAAATTGTCGCCAAGAACAAAATGACTTGTTCACTGCTCATCACCACGTCGCAAATCCCGCTGTACCATACATGGAGATTATTTTAACCAAAGAACGTCTATGTAAAGAAGAAAAATTTCCATACACGTAAATGCTATTACGCCGCTAGAAAGTGGAGGGAAAATTTGCCAAGGTATTTGGCGACGGAATCTGGCGGCCAGAATTTTCCTCTCCGCGATGTGTACAGGAAATTGAGAAACGCGTATTAAAAAGAAACGTTCTTTGACAAAAAAGAAAACTTCAAAAATCCGTTTTTAGATTACTGAGAAAAATCCAAGAAGAAACGCTTTATCAAAGAACGTTTTTCCTTGGATTTTTCACAATAATTTTAAAAACGGATTTTCGTAGTTTTTTTTTCCCCCCTCAAAATAACTAATCCATGAATTAATTTACTTGCGCCAAAAAATATTTTCTTCTCCTTTAGAGTTTAAAGAAATTTTAAACGATATTCATTTTATGAAGTCAACCCTGGGAAGATGACACCGAGGCTCTCTAGCATACTTAACCCTTTCACATGGGTATAAGACCAATTTTTTTATGTATTGAAGCAATTAAATCAACTATTCAGTCAGGAAGGCACAGAAAAAACAAATCAACAGAGTCTGCCATTTCCTGCTCTGCACTAATATAGCTAACGTAATGGATGTATGAGATACATAGGAACCAGCCCCCAAGAAAAGATTAAAACAAGCAATACCAACTGTATTATCTGTACACTGCACCATTTAACAACAACATTTAGTAACTTAAAATCTTAGTGAACACTTGCATGGTTCACTAGATTATATACACTTGCATGGTCATCAGAATAGTCAATAAATTCAAAAGGAATGCCTTAAATAGTTCAACTTTGCTAGAAAAATGATGACAATTATAATCATTTACTACTGCTTAAACATGGAAGTTCATTGGTTTTCTAAAAGTGTATGGTTGGACTGATTTTATGCACTTGATTTTTTGTTGAAATTCCTGAAAATTAAAGACAATCAATTTAATCAGCAGCTCAATTTAATTTATTCAAAACATAACTTAGATTATGTGACTAATTTATTTGTGAAAATTAGCAAAACCAATTGGAAGCTACAAGATGATCAATTCAATTTAATCAGAACTAAAACATCTGTGCTTGTAGCAAAACATTTTTTGCTAAAAAAATGCTGTTGGTTTCCAAATCTTTCAAAATTAAAAAACAAGAATTCTTAATGTAATGACTCTTCATTCTGACCTCAGCCAAAGATTTGAAGACATGGTTATTCCTGATTGTGCGTAAGTAGGCATAATCAGGCCTTTTGCAAGTAGACCCACAAATTCGGTGAATCCATACAAATATGGGAGCGATTTATTGAATTATCCATAAATGAGGAACTAAAACCCAGGTTTGAACAAGGCTACCACTAATTTAGAAAGAGATACAAATTTATTTTATGGTCAGCATTATGGTTTACTGTAGCGAGGTTATTGACTGCTTTTTCATAACTTCCTTAGAACGTGGAAGCGCAATTATGAGCCTCATCATGGGGGGGGGAATCATCAGGAGTGCTCATGGAGACATATGAATGCTAGTCACAAACATAGAAACACAGAGACGAACATAAATAATCTATCATCCAATACGGATTCACCCATCTCTTTGGGTGGGGGGGGGCAGCGTTTCTGTATTTTAAAACAAAAGTTATAATTTCAATAAATACTATTTTTAAAAGTTAATTTTTTATTTATATTTTATTTACCATTCAAAACATATTAAAGACAATTTAAATTTGTAGTTTTTTTTTTTTATGCAGTAGTGTACAGTTTTTCACTTGGGAGTTAAAAGTCATGTTTTTGCTACAAGAAGTGGTCCATGGCCATAGTAAGTTTGAGAATTACAAGTATAAGCTGAAGTTCATTTGGAGTGGGGAGGAGATCTACATAAAAATATCGGCCATTAAAAACTTTGGTGAATGCACATCCTTTCATATGATACTTTGTGTGTTAACAAAGTAAGTTTTGTTCTGAGTTAAAACTTTTTTGTCATATACAGTCTGCCATAAATAGGATAATTACTGAAATAATGAGTGCTGTGTCCTGAAGTTTTCTCCTAAAACCGCATTTTTTTTTTTTTTTTTTTTTTTTTTCTTTCTTTTCTACTAGGAATTTTACTAATGCCTCCTTCAATACTTCCCTGCCCCAAATTTTGTAACTGCAGATTTCCTCAGTGCCAGACTTGAATTTTTCATTATTTCAACTTCATTTTGTCTTGCATGTTTTTTTAAGGTTAAGTGTGAATATGGCAATGCTTCTTAGTTTCTTTTCTTATGATCAATTTTTAAAACAATGTGAAATGGCTAACTATAGTAGACATGACAGCAGTTAGTGAGTTCTAGGATAAATGCAAGCATTTCTCTTATCATACTATATGATAAAAGCAGCCCTCATAAACAGAAGCAGATAACGATGTTGATGGGGTAAATATACGCATGCTAAGCAAGCACAGATTGCATATCGCAAGTGCTATCATGAAGAGGAATGTTTTAAGCTCTCATTACCAAACTTTAAGAAACTGCTTGTGACAAGGTCAAAATCATCTGACCCAGATGAAAAATGCTGAAAAATGCAGGCTTCATGTAAATGCAGCCGAAAATTACAAATGTTTCCATCTTTATTAACAATACGATTTTACATAAATATAAAACTATTTATTTATTAGATACAATACAATTTTAATTTATATGTAACTTTATACTATACTACAAATATTATTTATTTTACTATCTGAAATGAGCAAAAAATTCTTAGAGCTGAAAGAAATTCTGATAGATGGTGAGGAGAGGAAGAGGGCAGAAAATTTTGAGAATCACTGGTATAATGCATAGGAAAGGTATGGTAAACATTCACATTTTTAACTCAGGCTACAGTGCTCTGTAACACATTACTTAAAATTAACTACCAAATAAAAGAGAAAACAATGTCAGAAATATACCTTATTCATGAAAAAAACTAAAACATACAAGTTTATAATAAAGCAGAAACAATAACATTAATAGAAACAACTACCAGACTTGAATTACTCACCAATTGGATCAACATGTGTAACATGATCAACAAAATCACGTTTTCCAAGATACACAGTAATCTGTAAAATAGCAGATTTCTATTATCATCATAAAAACAAAATGGCCTGCAAATCTTTTATTAACTACATATTTTCCATGAAAATTCATATGTCAATATTTCATGAAAGACTTTTCTCTGTTTTATATTGTTAAATATCTCTCACGAGAAAAATTAAATCATCAAAATTTATCCAGTAATTTACTTACACACAGCAGGGTTATATTACATGAATAAATAATTACATAATTTTAACAAAGCAGCAGTAACAAATTCTGAAATTCTTAAAGCATGAAATACAGACGAGTTTTAATGCAACAATGAATATGTTCATTATTACAGAAAAATCTAAATTAAATGACTGATAAAATTGAGAATTAGTGATTAGGAAGTTTAAAAAGTTGAAAATTATCAATGATCATCAATGCTCGACTCCATTAACTGTAACTAATTACAAACGATACTGTGCTTCTTTATGCCTAAAATATGCATTAGACTTTAAACTGTTGGACTACATAAAATCTAATGTACACTGCTCAAAAAAAAAAAAAAAAAAAAAAGGGGGGGGGGCAGTCCTATATCTCCCGATCTACTGGGCCGATTGACCAAATTCAAATTGCGTTCTTCCATGTCCTCAAAAGCGCGACTTAGGATATATATTAGATTTATATATAGCACTATTCTAACATAGGTATTTTGACACAAAACCGGACTTTTCCTGAAATAACATATGAATTTTTTTATATATTTCGATTCTACGAATCAAATTACGCCTAAATATGAAATTTTGTAAAATCTGGAGCGAAATTTACGGAGAAATTCACAAATTTATGTTGGCACTTTTTGCACCAAGAATACTTCACTTGGCGAACTTCTTAATATATGGCAACCTAGTTTTCTTTCCTGTGAGAGGGAAAAAAGTCACCATCGTTCCTTTTTTCCAAATAATATTCTTTATATTATATTTTTAATTATAACTTATTATTTTAAGTAGTTTTTTCTTTTTCAAATTTCATTTTAATTGTTTAAGTTTCACTTTTTTTTTTTCCAAATAACTGTTTTAAAAATTTCTATTTACCTATTCGAACTGCGTAAATAAAGGTGCAGCGTTCATTTTTTGTTTTCAAATAGTTTTCTTTATATATATATTTTCGTCATAGTTATTATTTTAGGTAATTTTAAATTTTTATACTTTTATTTTAATTGTTTGTGTTGCATTGTCTCTTCAGATAATTGTTTTAAAATTTTCTATTTATTCCTTCGAACTGAGCATTTTAAATATATTTATTAATATCAATTTTCCAGAATTTGATTTTATTTATTTGAACTGCGTTTCTTTCGGAAGAATACTTTGTAACCCAGACTACAATGAGTTTGAAAACTGCATACTATATTAAAAGAGAAAATACAGTAAAGCACAGTTTTATACGCCTTTCAATGTTCCGTTCAGAAAAGATATATATAAATAAGAGAGATGTATAACCAACATTTTAACTTAGGATGACTTGCATACACTGCTTTAAACAGTTTTATCATTGTGCCCATTGCCTTACACAATTTTATCCTACATTTGGTTTCTTAAAATGTTATTCATATTTAGTCAAATATTTTATTTTTGAAATCACAAGAATCAATATCATAACATTGAAAAGTTTCAATTTAAAAAAATACAAATACTAAATTTTACGAAAAAATTTATTTTTCTTCTCTTTTCTTTAAGAATTCTGAAAGTATATTAAAAAGTATCCAACTTTTCGAAACATTTTGGTATTTCTGACAATCATTTTAAATAAAGTTATCGCCTTCCATTTCATAAAGGCCACAAACAGCCGGAGCGGTAAAGATGCTGATCACTGGTAGTTCGGTCCAAGGTTAGAATCCCGCGAACAGGCTGGTTGCATGGGTGTTTTCGTGGTTTTCCCGATGTGTAACGTGTATACGAGCCAGTTTCCCTTAGAAAGTCCTCCACGAAGGCATCCCTCCCTTTAGGCAGATAGCCCTCGTGTGCTTTGCCATAATTTAATAATCCAATCCAATCCAATCCTTAATTAAATATAATTGATTTGTAACTTCTAGTAGAACTGACATTAAGAATTGAAGTGCAAATAAATAATATCGTGTGCAATCTTGATTAATATAAAATTAAAAATATTTGCACAGAAAAAATATTTGCATTCAGACAGAAATTTTTTGAAAATATTTGCAATTACTTTATAAGAAGGATTATTAATAACCGTAATAATTACTTATTATATTACTGATGATTAGGAATCAGTTCTTTGACAATTACATTCTAAATTAGAATTTTAAGAATTATTAGAATTTTAAATTAGAATAATGAAAATACGCTACGCACAAAAAATACATTTTAGGATAAAAAATGAGTTGACTTTTTATGTTTTAAAAACTTCTTGAATTCATTTAATAAACATCGTATCCTCGTAGTTAATTGAATCCAGAATGTTGTGGGTCGTTTATATAATTATTCTTACTTGTCCACAGAAGCTGCCTGACTTATCCAACCATTAAGTAGCTGCAGATCATTTCTACATAATAACACTGAACTTCCACTTAATTCAGTCTCTAGAGGGTTGTATGTTTATATCATAATTTGACTTTTATAAAAATGATTATTCTAAATCTTATGTTTCTATAAATCAGTTTGTTTAGAAATAAATTGTGCAGTTAATGTCATAAAATTCAAATAAACATCAAACGAAAGATCTCAGTTTTAGACAATTCGATTTAAACGAAGTAAAGTAGCAGACGATAAAACGCCAAAGGTAAAAATTTACTCTTATTTAAAAAAAAAAAAAAAAAAGAGAGAGAGAGAGAGAGAAATTTAAAAAATATTAAAAAATTTATTTAAAAAAATAGCTTTTCATATAGCATTAATAAATATTATTACGCATCATTGAGGGAAAAATGTCATATAATTAATTCTCCGTAAAATTTTACTTGAAATTTAAGGTTAAAAATAGCTGTGGCAATACAGTGTAACAAAAATTCATAGACCACATTTGGCGTTATTATCGCTCAAAAAAAAAGATGCCAAATTTCAAAACGCGAAAAGAAAATATGTAAATTTGTGTATATCTTAGAAAATTTTGAATAAAAAAGTCTAATTTTTTGCAGATATGGTTAAAAATATACCTACTTTAAGATGATGGTAAAAATTTTATAGGTTATAATTCAAAATTTTTTTCGAAAAATTTATAAAAATTATTTAAAAATAGAAATTTAAAAAATAAAACAAAAAATGGGTAAATTTTATTTGGAATGAACCTAAATTTTGAAATGTGAGAGAAAAAATCAAAAAGTTTAATCAAAAAAAGAGATATACATAAATATTCGCCAAATTCAATTAACATTGAGGAGCTAAAATTTTGAGAGCTAATATTTCAGTACGATTTTTACAAAACTTGGTATTCTGGCATAATTTGAGTCGTAGAATCGAAATATGTAAAAAAATTGGTATGTTATTTCAGAAAAAGTCCAATTTTGTGTCAAAATACCTATGTTAGAATAGTGCTATATATAAATCTAATATATATCCTAAGTCGCGCTTTCGAGACATGAAGAATGCAATTTGAATTTCGTGAATCGCCCCAGTAGAACGGGAGATATAGCACTGTCCCCCCCCCTTTTTTTTTTTTGAGCAGTGCACATAAAATTTAAGGTACCAGAAATTCACCATTAGAGTACAGGTATAGTCTTGCCAGCCAATTTGTCCAGTTACACTCCAATTTGGAAGAATATTCCAAGTTGCAGTCTAAGTCTCCCACCCCTCTTCCCCTACCACCAAACTCTCATGAGACTTTCAGCTTGTGTATTTTGAATGCCCTCTTTCTGCATAGACATATGCTTACAAATATCTATGCGTCTCGAGGATTTGAACCTAGGCCCATTGGTACAGCAGCCAACGTCACTAACCAATATTTCTGTTGAATAACAAAACTCAGCACAGGAAGACAATTTTAAAAACCAGATTTCAATGGTAAATTAATACAGGTGATACTTGAATAATGCAATATGCCAACATGCAGAAAAGCTGCAAATTTGAACACAATTTCTGCATGTCCTTAAACCACTAAATGCCTGCTATTGGCCAGAACCTCTATCAATACCACAATAACAAATTAAATTGTATTTTATTTGCTATATATCTTATATACTGCATTCATAAAGTATGTAAGAGAAGGAAAAAGTTTTTGAAGTAAAACTTTAATGAACAGATAATACCTCAATAATGCTGTACTGTATTCATTGATGTCAGAAGTCATCTGTTTACCATATGAATACAGTTCTGTGTGTCAATATTCATATTAACATTTAATACTGTCTTTAACATCTAAAAAACATTGTAGATGATACATATGTTATAAAGGGCAGATATAAAAAAAAAAGATAATACAAAAAATTTACAGGCACAAAAATTTAAGGCACCGATAAAAAATAATGCAATATAATCACCTTTTTAACAGCAAGACAAACACAATTAATACAACTGCTTTGAAGTAAATTATCCTACATAATAATTAATCGTTATTAAGCATTTTTAAAACATATTTCTGAGTATTACATTCATATTCATAGCAGAATTCTGAAAACAATATTGTGCTAAGAAAATACATAGTCCATATCAAGCAAGACCATTTAACTGAGACTTCGAAAAAAATCAATAGTGAAATCCTGAATTTTGAGAGCCTGTATATATTTTGTACCATTGCCCCTGTAAGCAATTTTTTTCCATGTAGCTCCCAGTTGTTAATTTTTGTTTCTTAATTTATTTTGTGTACTTTTGATGTGTGTCTATAGGAATGGGTACCTGAATATAGATAGCTATGTAAGTCTGAAGTCAAAAAGCTTTAAATTTCTCTTTAGAAATAAAATGTATGTGTTTAGGCGCTTTAATGATGACACCCAGTTGAACATAATTATGTACATTATATGGCTTTTGAAAGTTCTTTAAATTCTGTATAGCTATTTTATCAAAATACTTAGCAAATATAACACTGCATGAGTAACCTGCATAATGCTGTAACTGAACTAAGATAATGTTACCAGGAAATGTAATTCAAGCTGAAAAATGAAACACTACGACTCAGCCGAAAAATGTAAAGTTGCATTTTTGAAATTATTATATTTTATGCTTTAGATAATACATAAACACACCATGCTTCCTGCTATGATACCAAAAACTCCCTCCATACACTTTCGATTATCAGGCCACATAATTACCCCTTTTTAGTTTTTTTTTTTATAAATACAGGTTGTAATATATAATTTTATTCAGGAAGAAAATCCAATAAAAAAATTTATTATTTACTGCTCAAAGCCCTTGTTTCTGTTTTAAACTTTTCAATAAATAAGGCAGTAATTTATAATTTTGCTCAGGAAGAATATTTCTTCAATAGAGGTAAAATACTAACATATCTCAAAGCCCTTTCTTCCCCCTCACCCCAACTATCAGGTTCATGGGCCCTGTGGAACCAATGGATTGATTTTTTCCTTCCAAAGATAAATGTTTTGTATCTAAAACTGGTCTTAGAATATTTCCCCCCTCTTTTGCCAACTGTGAAGACTTATTTTGAAAACTGCCTACTTGTATCCTTACCCATGAACAAATAGTCACCCAAATAGTCATCATTTTACAACAGTGCAATCCAGAAGAAAGAGAAAAAAATTATAGTTAATGTATTTAAAAAGTGAGTAAATACATAAAATTTTACCTAACACTGTTCTTTAAAAAACATAGAACTGAACATAAGAAACATAGGATTGAACATAGGGAAATTCTGGTAGTAGATGGAGAGAAATTTTCAAATGAAGTCAAATGAATGCCTATTAACTTGGATCTCATTGGGGATTTATTCCCTTTCAGTTGTGAGAAAAGCTACTCACAGCCTAGTAAACATGAAAATCACATACAAAATTTGTGGCTTTCTGAACCATTCAGGGATACCAATTTCATCAAATGTTTGCTCTACAGTTAAGTCTCACTGAATTTTGGTAATATGCCATCTACAAATGGGTTGGCATTTTCTCAAAGTTGAATAAAAATATATTTTTGTAAAGATATCAAAGAGTCCCCTTCTAGCACTTGAACCTGTACATATGCTTTAATATAGGATAAAATTCCAACTTTTATTAATACAATTATGTACTTTTTGTTATTTTCTTGTGGTGAAGAGAGCCACAGAAAAATGATGTGGTTGTTGACTCCTTGTCTGACATGCCTGTTTTAGATGTTATGCATTTTACTTTCTAAATCATACAACTTATTACAAGAAACAGACATTTCTCTAAATGGTTAACAATAAAACTGCATAACATAATTACTAGATTAATTCAACCCTCTCGCAATAAGCAATTAGACAATTCACAAAAAGCATACTGTAGTTACAAATAGAGGCATATTATATCAAAAACCAATGCAGATTAAGATAAAATATTAACTAACAGCAAAGGAACTTGAATAAAGAAATATTAAAAAGCTACATATCATCATACTAAGTGTATAATTTTTCTTTCATAGCATTAAGTCTAAAATGCAAAAAGCTAATAAGATTGTTAATAAAAGCTTAAGTATATAACTAATGACAATTAAACACATTTTAATGAAAATTAAATTATTAATATTTCTAATATTCTGATCAGTAAAGTAGTTAGTGATGCTGTTTGCAATACTGCTGGGCCTTGGCTTCAGTCCCAGAGAAGGTTTGGATGTTTGTATGTGAATAGTAGCTTTGAGACACATAAAATACAGGGGCAAAGTCCTCTGAAGAGATCTGGCAGTAACTTACAAGAGGGCTGGGAGACCCTCCTACTGTCTCCCAGAAATTCAAAACTGGGATGGAGCTCAAAAATTTATAGTGTTTAACATGGTTAGCATAAGTCTATAAAAGGCTCAATGACCACACCAATCACAGAAAAAAAAAAAAAAAAAAAAAAAAAAGCATAAAATCTGTGAACTTGATCGCATGACACAGATAAGCGAGTCACAACTACTACTTCCAAGTTCAACACAGAATAAAATTTTTTTTGTAACACAAGATATACTATATATAATCAATATTTAAATAAATATATGTAAACATGCAAAATAAAATTCTAACTTAAATTTGCAATAGCGTGTCCTTTTTAATTTGGTTATTCCCCATTTTTATCCTAAAAGCAATAACATGCTTACAATAAACCTCTCTGAACAGCATCATTTAAAATTTAACATCTGTCATATGTTTCCTACATAATAAATAAACAGGTTTCCAGCTAATAATATAATGCTAAAATTTGCAAACCAATAGAGTTCTTACATATTAGCACAATTACCTTAGCACAAATCACCAAACTCCAGCAACCATGTACATAAGAATTCTTTGGTTTTAAGAAGTTATTGAGCCATTTTTATATGCAATTTTTTGACTGTATTCAAAATTACAGCTGTTTTTATGGACAAATAATGATATTTTTTACAGATACTCCCACAAGTACACTTTAAATTAAATTTTAAAACATGCACTTGTAAGATTTGCCTACAAAAGAAAACGTGATAAAATGTCTGCAGGTAGTTTGCAGCAGTAATGGTAGTAGTTTGCAAAAATAGTAATTTACCACAAAATTCATAAAAGGACTAACTGCTTTGATTTTTTAAAGCAATCACCTTGAAATTTCCAACAGAACAGATTTTTAAGATAAATACCTATTTAAAACATAAAATGTATATATCATAAATATGTTTTTGCAGTTATAAATCATTATTTAAAACATAAAATGCATATGTCATAAACACTTTTTTGCAATTATAAAATCTTTTTTTTTTTTTTCCCCCCTGTAAAAAATTGCCAAACTGCACTAAGATGATTGCACTACTACAAAAATACTATGAAAAGGAATACAATAAAATTACAACTTTGTTGTTCTTAAACTAACCTTCATATCATCTATATTTTTTCTCAGATTCTCTAACCTATTAGCATGCTTTTCTTTGCTTCTCTTTCTTAATTCAAATATATGTATCAAGAATGTTTTGGCTAGGGAAAAAGTATTAAAACAGGCACAATTGTAACTATATCTTCATTCCGCATTTCTACATCAACTACATAAAAAATTTTATTACATACAGATACAATTATGGAATCCATAGTAATACAAATCTTGATCAATAAACACTGAAATACTTCTGACTTCATAAGCAAACAAAAGCTAATTTTTTCTTTTCTAAATATATGATCAAATTCATGCCTTAGTCCTTTACTAACTTAACTAATCATTACTTTTAGACTTTTATGTCCTGCATGAACTCAGCAGTGGGATTCAGCCAGTGGTTAAGAAATACCAGTTTCCATAATTTCAGTTTCACAAACTGGTTGTTAAAACCATATTATAAATTATTTTGGAAATTTATGGTCACTCAATAACTAATTTTATTGATTAATCAAGCAGGAACTAGTTCTTAAATATTTTTAATTTCATTAGTGCACAAATTACAAGAAACACGTATTAAGTCAAAGTAGTTTAGCAGTTTCAGACAGAGTATATATTAAACTAGAAATTCAAAGAAATACCAGATTTTTAAAATTCGTCTTAAAAATCACTACTTTTGCACATACTGCAGATTGCTTCATACAATTAATATACTGAAGTAATAATTTTTATATACGAAGGAATAAAAACAATTTTTCAAAAAAAAATCTTTACACATACACTAATCTTTCAAAGAAATACATACTTTTCCATTTGGTGAACTCTTCTTGAAAACCCTAAAAAGAGATGGGAAATTAGCATTTTTTACACCAAACATTTCAAAAGTGCTGTAAAACAACAAACTGGAAGAGATTTTCATGAAAATTTAGTTTACTTAGCAGCTAATTCAAATTTTAAACTAAAATGAAATCAAAGCATACTATTTACAAATTCCAGATAAATATACTTATACAACCATTTCATAAATACTACTACTATACACTGCTTTAAGTAAAAACATATCTTTTCAACACCAGTTCAATTACTGTAATTTTTAAATACTGGATTCCAGCACAGAATAAGCAAAGCATATACTGTAATATCTAATGTGCGACATAAATACCTTGTTCCAGGTCGTTTTGCTTCATCGGTTACATCCATCTTTTCCATTTGTAATTCTGAGAATGCTGCTAGAGGATTCCAAAAGACTGATTTTGCTTTTTCAGCTTTATAATTTAATCTTTAAACATTTTGAACCTGTTGTGGATTAAAACAAAATTCCTTTACAAAAATCTCAATTTATTACAATAAAAAAATGACAAATTTCCAATTAGTCATAAATACTCTTCACATATGTGAAAAACAGTTAAATTCACACTTGTTCCTTATCACATAAAGAAGTCGACAAATAATGATTTTCATTAAAATAAGATTTACATAATTTTCGTAACATGATTAGAAAAAAGTTGATCAGTTAAGCAAATGAACAAATAAACCATATACCATCACTTTCTAATATGAACAAATAACATTAAAACTCATAAAACTTTGCAAATAATTTTGACAAATATACCCAGGACAGTTTTACAAGAACATTATTATATGAAATAAAAACAACATATTTAATTTAATGGCAGCCAGTAGGCAGACATGTGCTATTTTGCAATGCAAAGAAAGATTAATACTTTTTATACACGTTTCTTTCAAAACAAGACTTACTATATTTTCAACTACAAAATTTATTAAATATGTTTTGTCATTTGACTTCCCAAACAGCTTTCAACGCTTTCTTATAGGAAAGAGGGAAAAGATAAACCAGCATAAAATAACAATGCATACTAGCCTTGCTACAAACAGCAAAAAAATACACAGCACACCATTTGAAAGATTAAAACAGCAACAACAAAAAAATTATAAAAGATTTCTTTATACCATTTGTTTTGACAAGAACACAGAAACAGAATCTTTTTGCAAAAGTGCTTTCCTTATTATAAAAAAATTTATGCATAAAATAAATCACACAGCATGCAAACAGTTCTTTTACACTGAGGCATATACTAACAGTACTTATTAACAGTGTTTATTAAACTCACTGGTTAATAAAACTCAGCCACTTATTAAATTAAAATTTCCCTGAACAAAAACAAATGGGTCCTAATCAATAGAAAAAACACTATTTATTAAACTTATCTCTGCCACTTATAAAACACAAACTGTCAAAAGACTGATTATTCAGATTTAGAATAAACTGTTTTGGCTAATAAAAGCTATTTGTAGTTTTTCATTTACCTTTCAGTTAAGCAGTGCTTTAATAAAACTGACTGAGCAGAAATTTCAACCAGTGTAGTTAGAACCAAGACCTGCCTGGGATGTTGGGTACACTTCCCTAGTTCCTGTCAGACAATGATTGAAGATCTCTTTGCCCGAACTAGAGCTGAGAGTGATGGAATACATTTACCTTATGATTAACAAAAGCAGTTCTTCAAAGGCAGTGGAAAATATTTCTTGAGTTGTAAATGTTTCGCAGGATTAAAGAACAATAGGTGCTTATTTGAGTGCTCGTTCCCTTTCAAGAACACCAGCTCATAGAAGACCGAAGTGCATATGGATATTAAATTTGCAGGATGTTATCAGAAATCATCATGAAATGATTCTTTAATTTATCACACATTATCAATCTTTGATTGGAAAAGAGCAGTGGTCATCATAGACTGAAAAAAGCAGAAAAGAAAGTATTCATTAACCTATAATAACCATGAAGTGACAGGTCGATTTGACAGACAAAGTGAAATCTTCCTGCTGGCTAGAGGTAAGAATAATGAATTTCAACACACCACTGGAAGGAACTTTTTTACTTGCTACGTGTCTCATTTGTAGCACATCGAAAAGGTTTAAACACATTTAAAATGGGAATTCCCCAGACAGCATTATGCAATTTACTCAATAAATAAAATTGATAAAGAACTAGTAAAAAGCGTAAATGTCACAAGAAGGTGCAAAAGGGATGGAAAATCAAGACATTGAAACTGCTCTTCTAGAATAGTTTCAAGCTATAAGACTAAAAAATGCAATTTCTAGAGCTCTTTTGATCATAAAAACTGCAAAATTCATTAAAATGCCAGGAAAAAATGTTGTGCCAGCTGATCCAGTTGTGGGGGTCTATGTGTTCTTTTTGGGAACATTTACAGTAGACCCTACATGAAAAGACTGCGTAGCAAATTCTTGCTATGTCTTGAAGAACAGATACTACAGAAGAATGTTTAAATAACCTTTTTATTTGAACTAACATAACAGATTCACTCACTTGGAGCCCACAATTCACTACCGCTCGTGGCTAATAAATTAAACAGAATATAAAATTGTAAATTTACAATAAATTAGGATGGCTAAACGACTGGTTCCTAATTTATCTAAACTGCTAAATCAGCTACACGCAGACAGGCTGCTTGCAAGGCAAATAAAGAAAAAGAAAAATATTTATTGGGAACTAGATGAAGAAGCAAAGAGCAGATCATCATTTGACTAAGAACTAGATAAAAGACGTTTTACCCGAACTTCTAAAAGCACGCAAGCCACACGAAATTTATCATGCAGATGAAACTGGTCTGTTTCACAGATTATTACTGAACACATTAATGATTAAAAGTGAAACAGCAGCTGGTTTTAAGAAATTAAAAGAACAAGTTGCTCCGTTAATGAGCAGTATGGATGCAACAATTAAGAAGATGCCATTGGTTATTGGAAAATGCAGAAACACTAGATGTTTAAAAGGAGTCAATTTACCTTTAACTTACCATAGTAAGAATAACAACAATCAGTATTTTTACTGATTTCCTTTTAAAAAGGACAGAGAATTGAAAAACAAAGAAAACAGCTTTACTGTTAGATAACTGTGTTGCACATTCCTTTAATATCACTCTGAAACTATTAAATTAGTGTTTCTTCCTGTAAATATGACTTCTACCATTCAGCTTTTAGACCAAGATATTACAAAAGTTTCCAAATATTATTACAGAGATGGTATCATTGAAAAAAAGATTTACAAAATTGAATCTTGTAAAAATCCAAGCACTTCAAGAAAATAGCTAAACTGATATCTTTTTTTAGAGGCTATACATATTATAGTCAATGCACGGGAAGCTGTCTCCCAAGTAGTGATGGGCAACTTCGGTATTTAACGGGTACAGACAAGTACCCGGTACAAAATACCCATTACTCAAGTACTTTGAAAAGTACCAAAAACCAATTTCAAGTACCGAGTACCCAAGTAACAATTTGAAGTACCAAAGTAACGGTTTGCTGTACCGGAGTACCCTAGTAACGGTTTGCTGTACCGGAGTATAGTACGATTTGGACCGAAGTAACCCTAGTAAATTGGAGTACCAAAATACGCAGCTAATGATTTTGGCGCACTGAAGGAACTCTGCCACGTCACCACGTGTTTGATTTTATCTGTCAGAGTAAGATTTGAATATCAGAAATGTCAACTACGGAAGTGTCTGAGGAGCAGGAGAGCGCGGCGGGTTTGTTTCTGGTGTTGGGGTTTGTGTAGAATTGTCTTTGATGGCCATGTGGGGGGTTGGGAGGATTGGCGCACTAAGTGGATGGATGGAAAACATTTTCGCTTTCGGTTGTGTCTTGTGTGCAGGCGCAGCAAAATCGATGGGTGCTCTATCAATTTCGTGAAAGGGGTCGTCCCTAAATGATATCACGCTTGGAGGGGGTTAGTGAAATTGTGACAGTTTGTGACAAGGCGGGGGAGGGCGTAACAAGAGGTGTGACATCATATTTTGAATTAAAATAAAAATGTTTAAAATCAGCAGATTGAATTTTGAAGTTATTTTTAAATTATCAAAATTTGAAGGTATTTCCTTAATTGGGGCGAAAGCAACTTTCATGTGATTTTTTTATTATTATTTACATTCCTTTCTTTCCAAAAAAAAAAAAAAAAAAAAAAAAAGCATTCAGAGTAGGTTTTGAGAATAGGGTAGTGGCAGAAATTGTAATTTTATTGCTATTGTGTATTATGTTTTTTTGCTGTAAACTTTTCTCTTATTTCATACAAAATAAGTGCATGAATCATTATTATTGTTATATTACAGATGTCATTAAACATATATTTTTAAATTTAAAATAAAATCTGAAAATGATCTATAACATGTGCTACGTTTTTGAACTGCAAGTATAAGTTTACGTAATATTGTGTGACATGTGACAAAAGGAGGGAGGGGGTATGTTGAAGTGTGACACTTTGTGACAAAGAGGGGGAGGGGGTTCCAAATGTTGCAGAAAAGTGTGACATCATTTATGGACAGGCCCCAAATGAGCATAGTTGCGTACTTTGAAAACGTCGGAAGATTTTCTTCGTATGATATTGAAGGAAGGGAGTGTACACTATGTTTTTCGGCTGTGTTGTGTTGTACTGTTGGAGAGAAACAAAGGAAAAAATCGGAAAATAGAAATTTTGATGCAACACTATACTAAAAGTAAAAATGTCGCAATAAATTTAAAATAGAAAATTAACTACGAGTATAACTAGCTGTGTAGCAACCCGATAGGATGCATTTTCCTAAGTAAATATCAGAAACTTAATGATCAATCTGTTTTAACATGATATTTTTTATTTATACGGATAAATAACATACCGCAGAAGTTTGTTAATACCTTCATTCGGTAGTAAGAGCATAGGGCTGCGTAGGGTCTAGAAATTAAAATAATCACAAACCTTTATCCCACTTATAGATAAGATAATGACCTTCAGTACCACACGAAATAAAACTTATTCAAGCTACCAAATTTTAAAAAAGATAAATCTCTTATTCTCTACTCTCCCCTCATATATTAAAAATTCTGAATAAAAAATAAGATAATTTAAACATTAAATATAACATAAATGACCTTGTGTGTTTAATTGTACAATACTGCATAAATAAAATTTACCATTTATTCATATACACATGGTTGAGGAGCTTTTCCACAAAAAGTTTATACTGTTCCTTTTTAATTACATTTAGGTTTATTTTGAGTTAAATTTGTACTTTTGGAGATTTGGGTACAATAAACAACGTAGAATATATTAAAAAAAAAATGGCAAAATATTTTTAAAAAAACAAAATGATTTTAAAAATGCATATACATATATTTTGATTTAAACATTTGAATTAACAAAAGCACTAGAAAATGAGGTATGTTTTGAAAAGTGAGATATGTAATATATTTGGATGTACTACAGTAACAAGTAAATTTCAGCAAAATGGTT